CGACTTCATAACGTTGGAGATGGTTGATCTCGACGCTTGGAAATTGGTACTGCCCCGCGAATTGCGTCCGCAGGCCATTTCCCAGTGCCATGATCTTCGCCAAGCAGGCCACTTGGGGGTTGATAAGACCTATCGTCGTCTCTACGAGGCATATTATTGGCCAAATATGTTTAGGGACGTCGTGGCCTTCGTCCGCCACTGCGACATTTGTCAACGCTGTAAGGTGGGAAACGCCTTGCCGCGGGGACATATGGGTAGGCGGGTAATCCAAGGTCCTTGGATGACCGTGGCTGCCGACATTGTTGGCTCGACTACTCCGAGCAGATCAGGCTTCTCCTATGTGCTCGTGTTGCAAAATCTCTTCACTAAGTGGATTGAGTTAATCCCCCTCCGGCGATCCACAGCCAAAGCCATCAGGGAGCAGGTGGATAACGAAATTATCTCACGTTGGGGCACCCCACGCGTGTTTTTCACCGATAACCGAACCGAATTCGTTAATCGGGAGATCCAAGCTCTGGTAGAGCGCACTGGGATGAAGCACGAGACTTCACCCCCTTATCATCCCCAGGCTAACCCAGTCGAGAGGGTCAATCGTGTATTAAAAATGATGTTACGCGCGTTCATGGACGGTGATCATCGAACATGGGACGCCCACTTACACGAATTCCGTTTTGCATACAATACGGCGGAACATAGTTCCATCCAAACGACTCCAGCGTTTGCGAATTTCGGCAGAAACCCTCTGCCGGCTGTATCCCTTCGCCGCGAGCTAGAAGGAGGCGTAAAAATTATCCCTGGCGAACCCAGCGATTGGGTTGACCGAATGAAGCGGCTGGATACACTCCGAAAAGCCCTCACTCACGCCATGCGGGAATCGTCTGACAAACAGGCGCATCATTACAATCTCCATCGACGCGACGTTGAGTTCCAAGAGGGTGACTTGGTATTGCGACGCTCTCACCCATTATCCAATGCGGCGAAACATTTTTCAGCTGCGTTGGTCCCTCCATTCGAGGGTCCTTTCATGATTAATAGAAAGGTCTCCCGAGTTCGGTATGAACTTGTGGATTTTTCCGGGAAAGCTCAGGGCGAGTCCGCCATACAGGACTTGAAACCCTATCAATCTCCAGTACCGGCTCCGTAGTCTTTCGGTTACCGGCCTCCGTAATAGTCTTACGTCCTATAATCGCCCCGTAGTACGGGAGTCGCCAATAATTTCCCCCTTTTCTGGGTGGTCGCCCGTCCGGACAAACTCTCCGGTTACAAAAAAAGTTTCCCTTCTATGATGTAAAAATGTTTGCCGTATGAAGGACGGCGGTGCTCCATATAGGCAAGAAAAAGTGAATGGAAGAAATGGCTAGGAGCCGGATAGCTCAGTTGGGAGAGCACCCGATGCATAATCGGAAGGTCCCGGGTTCAAGTCCATCATAGGGTACATCATAGAAGGGAAGTTTATATAGCGTTCCACATTCTATTTGTGACGTCATAGGAGTCGTTGGATAGGATTTGGATGAGGTAGGAAGGGGAACAGGATAATTCTCCATATAATTTTTGCGAGAAAAATTACTGAAAAAATGGATAGTCCAGACCGGGACTTGAACCCGGGACCTTCCGATTATGCATCGGGTGCTCTCCCAACTGAGCTATCCGGCTCCTAGCCATTTCTTCC